CTTAGCAGAGGGATGGTTCATTTGCCAGTTTTCTTCTTATAGGACTAGTAGCCCATGCACGGAAATCGTGCTCAAGGGTGGGGGGGTGAAGAGTGGGGTCAGACCCCTCAGCCCGACCTGCACCCTCTGTCATGTTCCGGGACCCCGGCTGCTCCCGGCCTAGGCACAGGCCTACAGGCTTGGGGTGGCCTGGCTCCCGAGGCCCCATTTTATCAAGAGAACAAAGTCGGAGTTAGTTACAGCCCTCACCAAACACAGTACAGTGCATCTGTGCGTACAACTGCCTCGTTCATGTGCCTGCTTCGCCCTACTGAATTACTAACATCTTGAGGACATAGCTCTGTCTTACCCTCTTCACGTTCAGTGTCTGGCCTGGTGCCAGGGACCAGAGAGGGTTTGCTGAGTGAGTGAATATTGAGTAAGTGAATGAGTGAATGAATGAGCGAGTAAGTGAATGAGCAAGCAGCTACGGGGCGGGAACTTCTGCCGCATTGCTATGGCGACATGGCAGAAGTTCCCGCCCTGCTCCCGGACACCTGACGCCCTCCCCGGGAAATTCCCGCCCCGCTCCCAGTGGCCCGGCTCCCCTCTCCTGGCTGCATAGTTTCCGCCCTGCTCCCAGCAGTGGCCCAGCACCCCTCTCCTGGCTGCTTAGTTCCTGCTCCCAGCAGTGGCCCGGCACCCCTCTCCCAGCTGCTTAGTTCCCGCCCTGCTCCCAGCGACCCAGGCCCCCAGCCACTCCTTCAGCAGAGGCCAGGGCAGGCGGGAAGCTTGGCTTCCTCCATCATGGGGGCAACCAAGCCTCCTGCTTGCTCCAGCTCCATGACCGCCGGCAGCCTTCTTGGTTGGGTTAATTTGCATATAGTTGCTCTGATTGGTTGGTGGGCGTGGCTTGGGTGTGGCAAAGGTGCGGTCAATTTGCATGTTTGTTTTTTATTAGATAGGATAGTTCATTCACTTCAGGTCAGGCTTATGATGTAACAACTTGTATTTTTCTTATTAATAAGTTGGGTTTATACTTATTTTGTTGAGTCTCTATAATTGATAAATATGCCAAATCATATACCTATTTTAGACTTCTATGTGTGGGGTGTGTGTGTGTGTGTGTGTGTGTGTGTGTGTGTGTGTGTGTGTAGACGTTGAAGAGTAGAAATATTAAAATATTACAGAGATATGTAGTTATAGTTTCAGGATTTATGACTGTTGTTGGCTATATAGTTAGCAAGATCCAACTATTTAGTTAGATCTTATATTTGGTAGCAACTCCTCTTTTAGCAGTGTAGCCCTGAGCGTAATTTTTTACGTGAAATAGAATAGTCTCCTTTAAATTCAGAAATGCTTACTCTGTGCCTTATTAGGTCAATAAGTAACCTCACATCTTATATATTAAGGTCAGAATTCAGAAAAATTGTTTTATCCCTTGGCTCTTCATATCTTATAAGGCTTTACTGAAAGAAGTTAGTAATACAGCTGACTGATGGAAAGAGATTTTTTTTCATTTTGTATAAAAATTCTATAAGGCTTATTTTTAAAGCCAAAAGCGATATAAGACATATCTTGAGATCTCTACAAATAGCTTTCTTTCAGGAACAGTATTTACAAATAAACAAAATTTAAGTCCTTCAACTATTGAGTAAACAAGATAATGATTAGAAGACAAAGCCATTTTGACTTGTAAATGTTCACTCACTAAATGTTAGTTTGCAGTGCCCTCAGTAAGTGTCGAGACAAAAATTATAAATTTATTATTCATGTCACGGATCCTCAGGATTGCTCTGGAATAGTAAAAAACATAAGTTTTAAATCTATGACTGCTGCTTTGGCCAGGTGTTCAGTTGATTGGAGCATTGGTACAAAGCAACCAATCTCTCTCTCTCTCTCTCTCTCTCTCTCTCTCTCTCTCTCTCTCCTCCTCCTCTCTCTCTAAAAATTAATAAAAACATCCTCGGATGAGCATTTTTTTAAAAATCTGTGACTACTAAGGTTCTTTTACTATCCCACAGTAAAAACTATATTGCATAATATAGAAAAAATATAGAAAATGCATTTATTCATAGACTGTTTTGGTAAGTTTTTCTGCTATATACAAACGTAATTGCTGTGTTGATATCAAGGATTTATAAAAGGTTAATTTACATGAAATTTTGCAAAATGCATATTGGTATTACAATCTACTTAAAACATTTGTTATATTTTTGTTTGCTTGCTTCTTTTGAATAGGTAACACTTTAACAAGGTACAAAATTCAAAAGGTCTAAAAGCTATACCAACTCCCTCTTAACCCCAGGCGGCCATTTCACTTTCATAAGAATAGCTAAGGTTACTATTTCTTATATATCCTTCCAGAGATACTTCAAAACTGTTTTTGTACACTATACTTGGTTAATTTATGTATTTACACAAAAATGTCATTGGAGTTAAACTTAGTTTTTCTATTTCTCACCTTATTTTTAAAATTTTCAGAGCTACAGAGAAATAAGCACAAGAGAAATGCAAGAATAGTACAAGGAACACCCACATATCCTTCACCTACTTTCATCAATTATTGACATTTTGCCCCATTTGCTTTCTCTTTTTCATGCTGTCCCCTATTTTCCTCCCTTTTGCCCTTCCTCTACTCAGGTCTTCATCACATTATAGTCTGTGTCCATGGGCTGTGTATATATGTTCTTTGGTTAATTATGTCCAGTCCACCTCATTCCCCTCCTCTTCACATGCTTAATTTTTAGCATATGTGTTTCATGCTAAGCTAATGTTTAAACAAAAAGAAAAAAGGATAAAACCTGGAAAATTGCTAAACTTTGAAGTCTTGTCTTCAGTATAATTAATGGAATTGAGTGCGCATATATACATACATATATATATAAATATATATATATATACACACACACACATATATATATACTGTATTTTGATACTTCACAAATATTTTTTAAATAATAAAATAAGTCTTGTATTTTATTTTTTAGACATTCTAATTAATTTTGGGATGCAAACCTAGATGGCTTCCTAAGGTTTTAGAATATAAAGATGCCCTGTATTGAGGTATCAGTTCTGATGAATTGTAGTTAGAACCTTAGATGTATTTGGTCTACCTAAAAAATAATATTGGCTACTTCGACAGGGTTGAGAAGAAAGAACGAGCCCGATTAAAAACAGTGAAATTCAATTCTAAAACAAGAGGAGACAAAGGGGTGAGTATATGCAATCTCTTATTTCTAGAAATTAATAGTTGAGGGTAATAGGCCTTTTTATCATTCTTATTTGAGCTACATTATTAAAGTGAGGATTTTGCCATGAAAATTACTATCAACAACTCTGGCAATGTTGCTTTACAATAGTAGATATTGAATTAAATTAAAGCACCCATTTCACAGACCTTTTCAAATTAAAACTGTGATTTGATTTTTTCTTAACAACATACTTTTGGTCAAGGTTATTTTTACAAGTGAAATTAATTTAGTCTTCATTCACATGTTCACTTAGAAACTTGTGTTACCAAAATTAATCATGATAGTTAATAAATCTGAAAAATTATTAATAGGCCTCCAAAAAATTATTAATGAAATCATAATGTCTGTTTTTGGGGGGATTTTGAGTAAATTCAAGGAAATTTTCTTGTTCTTCTCTCTATACCTAGTATTTATTAGGAAAATCCATGTTTAGATGTTTGAGTCAATATGAATTTTTAGTTTGAAAAAATAAAGAGACAGTCAAGAGGAGGAGTTTGTAAATGGTCAAAAAATATATCAAAGTTCTTTTATACATATTTTAGACGTGTTTTTGTTTTTATTTAAGTGTTGCTTCAAATGGCTATCAATGGATGAAAAAGATCTTACGGGCTTTGTCCTGTACTGTTTATAATTACTGCAATAGAATATTTTAGTAAAAAGGCTGATGAAAGAGCTGAATTTCAAAATGTATTGAAAATACTATTTGTAGCAATGTTTTCTGTTTTGTAGGGTTTTTTAATCTAAAGCTAAAATTCTATACATCTTGTGATCATATTTCAAAGGAATGTAAAATTCAGCAAATAAATTAAACCTATTTTCTGTACATCTCTGATATAACTAAGCACTCAAACCTAAAGCTTCTAATTTAAAAGAAATATGATCCTTGACTAAAGAAATTAAATCTGAGTAAGTTGTATAATGTATTCAATTATTTTAGGAATGATAAATTCCATTAAAATTAACTTGTAGTTTTCAGAAAATACAAAATTATATAGTGTGACCTGAGGCAATATTTAAGATAGAATTTTTTGGAGGAAAAAAATTTCAAGTAAATGCTCAGGATTTGAAATCTATACAGTGTTTTTTGTGCTTATTTTATATATGTTTTTTAAAATAATTTAGTAAAACACACTGTCAATGTATTTAAAAAGAGGTTGCATGTTGTAACTTTTCTTTTATACTGTAAGAAGTTAACTGAATTAACGACATATTTAAATCTTAGTCTTGTTTGTTGACTGTAACCAACTTTATGCACAGTCACTGTGTTCTAACACAGCACCAAAAGTATGCATGATACTGAGTGGGGTAAAAATACGCTTGCCATTGATACAGAACTGCATTTCTTTCTGTAACACCATTTCCCATTCTTCTTTTTCTTTCCTTACATGGTTTATGGACTTTTATTTCCACTACAGACTTATAACATTTCAGTTTCTCATTAATATTTTTAACATTCATTGAACTATTTTGAAATACTATATGGAGATAATATATTTAGATATTTAATATATGAATCATGAATTTGTGATATTTTTCAGTTCTAATATTTATTACACTCTGTCTCTCTTGCAATGTAGCATTAATAATAATAATAAGTAATTAGACAGTATTTTGTATAGGAAATATAGAGAAACTGGAAGTAGTATGGTTTCTCTAGCTTTGTGTTTTCCCTTCACATTTTTCTGTTGTTTGCTTGTGCTATTTTTACTTTAATATATTTTTCACCTGGAGGATGTTAAATGCAATACAATTAATCCATTTCTTAACTAACATGCATTTCTTTCTGTCCCATATTATGATATCTTTATGATATCTCATTCTGGCTAACAGCAAAGATATCAAAAATCAAAACATTTTAAACTTCATGTTTCTTTCGGTTGTTTGCTGTGAAACTGACTCTGACCACTATAGATGCAGTAGGAGGATTAGTTTTATCAGATATAAAAATTAGTTTTATCAGATATAAAAATGATTACTAAATTCAAAAGCAATGATTGTCATGAACAAAAAGATTTAGTCCTTCCCTGATATTACATTACCATAAATCTTTCTCTATTGAAACTTGTTTTCCTCTCGTTCTCTTTTCTAAAATTTGGATTCAAAGATTTTTATTTAAATAATGCTACTTGACAGTTTATCAAATAATTATAAGCCCAGAGTTCTTCAATTATTTTTTACTCAACTTAATTTTCAACTTCCACTTAGAGGTATTAGAGCCTTCAAATTTTAAGATTGAAATCAAGACAATCTGCTTGACTGTGAACTATGAACTTATTAATACTGAATTATTGATATGAAAAGGTAAAAATGAAAGTTTAACCTTGTTTTTGTAAAGATTCTTATCAAAATGAAGTCTTTGAAGTAATGGAATTTGAGCTAAAAGCCACTTTAATCTATTTCAGAGCCATAATCACCTGGCTTTTTATGCTTAAAAATATGGGCATGCTGAAAACATACTGCCTGGTATCAATACACTTTGAAATAATGAAAGCATCTTTTAATGTGAATAAACTCAGGAAAAAATCAGAACAAAATTTTTATTCTTAATATTGCCCACCTCAAAAAGTATAATAATAATTTCGAGTGTCAATTGTATGTAAGGTCATTTTCTTCAAGACATGTGTGCCTATGACAGAAATTACAAAATAAACTATTCCTCTTTAATAGGCTCATCTTTCCTTGTGCTGCATGGTTGTTGTTTTTAAATCTTTGAATGCACAGCCCAGCTGGTGTGACTCAGTGATTGAGGATTGACACATAAACCAGGACAGGAGGTCCTGGTTTGATTCCCGGTCAGGGCACATGCCAGGATTGCTAGCTCAATCCCCAGTAGAGGGTGTGAAGGAAGCAACCGATTGATGATTCTCTATCATCATTGATGTTTCTTTCTCTCTCTCTCCCTCTCCCTTCCTCTCTGAAATCAATAAAAATATAATTTTTTTAATCTATGAATGCACAAATGGGACATTCAAGAATGGAAAAAAAATTTTCAATATCTGTGCAATAAGGAACATCTTCCTTATAGCAATTATGTATAAACTATTCAAATCTCAATTGTCTATTTGGCTCTTACTGGCACCAAACTATTTATTCTCTATTCAAGACTGCTGGTGCTGGTGAATCGAATCTGGTTCTATATTATCTGTATATACTTTTAAAAATAGATATGTATAGTAAAGCTTAAAGACAAAGGAATCAGTTATGATAGCACTCATGGTGGCTAAAACAATCCTAACTCTTCTTCCTTGGTTAGATAGCATTGATAAGTCTTTTGCTGGACTCTTTGGCCTTGATAGAGCCCTCTTAGTGTTCTTCCTATTTTCTGACTCATGCCAAAAGCATTTGGTTATCTTTTTTCTCTTCAAGAATGGATGGATATTGCCGAAACCGGTTTGGCTCAGTGGATAGAGCGTCGGCCTGCGGACTGAGAGGTCCCGGGTTCGATTCCGGTCAGGGGCATGTACCTGGGTTGCGGGCACATCCCCAGTAGGAGATGTGCAGGAGGCAGCTGATCGATGTTTCTCTCTCATCGATGTTTCCAACTCTCTATCTCTCTCCCTTCCTCTCTGTAAAAAAATCAATAAAATATATAAAAAAAAAAGAATGGATGGATAGATAGATAGATAGATAGATAGATGATAGAACTATTTTTTAAATATTCAACACTGGCAATTTCTCAATTGTTCGGGTTTTCTTTTCAAATAGAGGTCTTTGTTAGTTTGTTGGAGCCACACGGAAGGAAGGAAGGAAGGAAAGGAAGGAAGGAAAGGAAGGAAGGAAGGAAGGAAGGAAGGAAGGAAGGAAGGAAGGAAGGAAGGAAGGAAGGAAGGAAGGAAGGAAGGAAGGAAGGAAGGAGGGAGGGAGGGAAGGAGGGAAGGGGAAGGGGAAGGGGAGAAGGGAAGGGAAGAAGGGAAGGGAAGAAGGAAAGGAAAGGAGAGAAAAGGAAAAGGAAAAGGGAAAGGGAAGGAAAGGGAGGGGAAATGTGCTTAAGCAAAAGGAAATTGAAGGTTATTACCTAATGCATAAAAAATATTTGAACAGCTAGAGGAATCCTTTAAAATAACTTTTGCTATAGAACATCTAGCTCCTGGCAATCTAGAAAAATATTTATTGATATGAATAGATGTTAGCTTGGTCTGTACCATAGTAGTACCTAACCTGATTTACTCTTTTCAATTTTATCAAGTAGCATATATTCCTTATTTTTAGCTATTACTGAATTACACTCTTTAAATTTTTCAATATTTTCTGTTATAAAACATTAGAATTAGAGGAGTTAATACAAAATTAGAAATTCACTTTATATGTGAATTAAGTAAAATTCATATATAAACTGCACACTGTGGTCACAAGAGTCAGCTTCCACAGAGCTGCTAGGCTGGCTGGGCCTTTGTACACACAGACAGTAGACATCCCTTTGTTTTGCCCCTCCTTCTCTTCTTCAGCAGTCATTCAATGACAAGCGTAAAAAGAACCTCTTTTCCCGAAAATTCCCCTTCTACAAGAACAAGGACCAGAGTGAGCAGGAAACAAGTGATGCTGACCGTAAGTATGTGGATCCGGTGGTCAACTGAAAATAAATGTAGAGGGACCTACTGCCCTGCAGTTGGTTGTTACCATGGAGACAGTTTCAAGAGCTGCAACAGGTTACTAATTGTCTTAACCAGGGCCAATTTAACAGGCATAAATTAATTTGTATACCAATCTTAACTTTTCTGGTACCTTAGGAATTCTTAATTTAAAGTAAATAGTATTTTTAAGCTGTACATTTAACATAGTATTATTTGATGTAAGGATTCTTACAATAAATAATATACTCTCAAAGAATGTTTTAGAGGAAAAACATGGATACCTGGGAAGCTACTTAGTGACTTCAAAGTATGGTATTGCCAATCTTTGACAAATAGATCTTCTGAAATTATTCCATTTTATCCTATTTCTTCTTCATATGTAGACAGCCTGGATTTTACTTTTAAAATAGCAAGTAATAGTCTCAAACTTTGCTGCTCTAAGATAGAACTTACATTCTTTTAGTAGATTACATTTAACTGCTAGCTTATTTCAAGCTTTCAGAAATCTACAAAAATGCTCTATAAGATATGCACCTGTAATGGTCTTGGAACTGTCTCTTATTGTAGCACCAATTTTATGCATTACTGACAACTATTTTCTTTGATTATCTTTTTATTGCTTGCTCTCTGGGAACTACTCTCTACAGGAGATCCCTGACGACATGGGATCAAAAGGCCTGAGTAAGTGATCAAAATACTCCCAAGTTATTTTTTAACCTCCATCTACAGACCTACCTTTTTTAGATACATTTTGAGAATCATGGTAGTGCCTTTCTGGCATGAGGAGGTGTATGATTTAGATTGCTTTTAGGCTTTCATGTTAATAAAATGCTTGGGATTTTTATTTCTATAACACACATCTTTTGTTTTTCTAATGCTCCATTTTTCAGTCATTTGAAAAACTCTGCTCAATATTTACATTTTTAAATATAAAAACTTTTTAACGTTTTTAAAAATAGTACTACCTGCCCTCATTATTAGAATATAGAAAATAATCTTCCTTACAGTTTTATATCACCCTTTTTTAAAAAAACAATTTAAAATCACTTTGATTTTAGAAAAGCATTGCCATAATGTGAAACTATAAAACACAATAGATAAATGTTAGAGAAGAATTGTGGACCTCAAGTTTAGCAGTCTTTGTAGAGGGAAATTTACATATCTTTTTTAAGGAGGTTGTAATTTATGAAAAGAATTATAAGAAATATTTTTTTTTTTTTCATTTAACCATGATGTTGTCTCTGCTGTTTGTTTTTCTTGTTTAATTTTCTAGCTAGAACTTAGTCTTCATATAAAGCTTGGTACAGAGTATGGTATATAGGAATCATTCAATAAATGTTAGAATAAATGAATAAAACAAGAAGTCATTTAAGCAATCAATTTTAAATGTGGGTGTTTTCAGATTGATTAAATGTGAAATTTTATCAAATATTACTAAGTTATTTTAGGTGACAGTGACTCATAGAAGTAACCTTTTAGGCTAAAGTTTTTTTCTAGATAATTCTTTTCCTTTGGGTTATTAAGCATTTTAAAAACTTCTTTTTTTATAATTCATTGATTATTAAGGATATAACCAGTATCTTTCAACTTTCTAAGCTCTATATTAATAATCATTAAATTTCATAATTTTTCCTGATTTACCCTAACTATCCTGGTATTTTAAACTATAGGAACTTGACTTTTATTTCAACCTTAATAATTAAAAGTTTGTATTAGACTGAAGGCAGTATGCTTTATATGTAATTATTTTTATTAGACACACAGACAATAGACATCCCTTTGTTTTGCCCCTTCTCTTCTTCTCTATTATTTTTGCATGTGCCTCTTTAGGATTTGGCAAGAACCCACGAATTTACTATCACTATGGTACCCTTGTGAAAATCTTCAAAAGTGGAAAATATTTCCATAATTTTTATTTTATTTTTTTTGAGAGAGGGAAATATCAATTGGTTGCCTCTTGCACATGCCCCAACCAGGGCTGGGGATCAAACCTGCAACCTAGGTATGTGCCCTGGGCTCCACAGATTTTTAATGGTGTAGAATTTATTTTGAGAATGATAACATGTTTTAGAGATGGTATGAATCAGCATATGTACCCACAGATTTTTATTATCTGTTGAGTCATTGGAGACCTAAGGAAAATTCATTTAAAAGGGAATTTAAGGAAGAATTTAGTTCCCATATTGATATTGTTATGGTGGATGATAATTACATCTTGACCAAATCATAATTTTATCTTTCATTTTAATTGAGGATTGGTACTTGGGAAGAGCAACAAATAAAAAATGGTAACTGAATACCAGACAATGTGATTTAGAAAAGAATTTAAATTTTTCTGGACAATGACTTAAGATCCTTTGAATGGTAGGTTTCTGTGCTTCATCTCCCAGAAACTGAAAGAAATTATCCACCCAGTAATTTAATGATCAGATCAAGATTTTATTTGGAAAATGTTGAAGGAAATAGAAACATATAAGTAAAATTCTAATACTGGATATGATGGAGGTTATTACATAAAACAGAAGACTAGCAGTTGGCAAGTTGCCTATTATTATACAGTAGAAAATGCTAGGAAAGGGGATGTATCCAGGACATTTGTGGCCTCGGTTATCAAAAGGTCATAGCACAGGGAATAAACTAAGAAAAATCCTGTGAGATTTTAATATAAGAAAATAAATGTGACCTCATATTAGGTACTCATCAAGTCTTGTTGTAACAGGACTCACAAAGGGACTAAGAATAGAAGGATAAATTATTCCAGAGAAACACCTGTTGAAGAGGTGTAAAATAACACTGAACATCAAGGAAAATGTACATTTGCATGTAACTTCACACAACCTCTGGAAAATTTGAGGATATTTAATTGAAGAGCAGAGAGAGAAACAAAGGTGATACCCTAGAATACTTTTCATACACATGAATTTAGTGATTCTATGAAGAAGAGAATAAAATAAATTATTGATTTGCCCTGTTGGCAGTAGAATATGAAATAATGAGAAAAACTGTCTTTCAAAACCTAATTTTGACTCACAGAACTAGAGAATGATGGAAATCTGAGAGAATGCAACTAAGTCATGATAGCTTGTAGAGAGCTAGAAATAGAAACTTGTGCAGATTTTATGCTTTAATAAGGCAATTTTGAAAAAGTTCTGGTGGAAAAAAACGGTAAGATTTCCTTTAACAGTGACCAAAAGAAATATAGTTCAGGAGGGACTATAAAAGGTGCTCAGAAGTGTAGTTATGACATGCCATTTCAGACAAGGTTTGTACCTATCTCTTGTACGCAGCTCAATTTTTATAGCTTTTTATTTTGTGGAACACCTCAAAGACTTCTTCTGTTAGGCACACAAGTTTTCGATTATATCTCTCCTTTCTTCTCATTTTAAAGACTTATTAAGCAGATTTGTGCAGAGTTCTTAGATGCCAAAACCAGACTTATTTTCATTTGTACTTGGAATAAGTATAATAGTACTAGAATTACGTGAGATTGGTGATGTGTAGTATTTCAAGAGCACAAAGAGAAAACACATGATGCATTCTTAGGAAGAAATGTTTGATAGAAAGGTGAGACTTGGTTAAAGAGATTTGAAATTACTATGCTCATCAAATACCATAAACAAAATAAAAACAAAAACTTGAAGAATATATTTATACCATGTATGCCAAAGGGATAATATCCTTACACTATACATTTCTAACATGAAAGGAAACAGACTAACTCTCCATTAGAAAACTGGACAAAAGATATGAGAAGAGTGCTCAAAAGATAAATGAAATGAGCATATAAAAATGTTCAGTGTTTCTAGTAAGGAATAAACAAAATGACATTTTACTGATTACCTTGGTAAACTTTTCTTTTAAAGGACAACTCAGTAATGTTGAGGGTTCTATAGAATGACTACTTTTAACATATTATTATTGGGAGTGTAAATTGGTACAACCTTTCTGGAAAAGCATATCTTTTGACATACTAATAATTCCCCTTCAAGGAATTTATCCTAAGAATGTAATCAGAGATGGAGATAAGGGTTTATATGTCAGGGTGCTTAATATTATTTAGAAATTACGGCACTCAAAAGTTGAAATCATCCTAGAATGTCTTACAATTAAGGAGTGGTTAAGGAAGTTATCCATACTTTATGATATTATATAGCCATTGAAAATCATATTTAGACATAATGACATAAATAGCTAAGATCGGGAAACAGCTCAAGTGCCCATCAGTAGATGAGTGCATAAAAAAGCTGTGGTACATTTACACCATGGAATATTATGCAACAGTAAAAAAGAAGGATCTCTTACCCTTTGAGACAACATGGAGGGACCTGGAGAGTATTATGCTAAGTGAAACAAGCCATTCAGAGAAAGACAAGTATTATATGATCTCACTCACATGTGGAATCTAATGAACAAAATAAACTGATGAGCAAAATAGATCCAGAGACACAGAAGCATGGAACCAACTGTCAGATCACAGAGGGAAGGTGGGGGAAGGTGGATGGATGGGAAGAGATCAACCAAAGAACTTGTATGCATATATGTATAACCCATGAACACAGACAATAGGGTGATGAAGCCCTGCAAGGGGGGGTGGGCTAGAAGGAGTCAATGGGGGGAAATGGGAGCCATGTAGTACTTTCAACAATCAAGAATTAATTTTTTTAAAAAATGACATGGAAAAATTTTCACAATGTAAGTGAAAAAAATAAAATACAGAACTATAGTCTCAAACTTAAAAAACATATTTAGGGCTATTTTGAATATTGTTGCTTTATACATGTCTCTTGGTGAGCATATATATGTGTGTTTTTCGGGTGGGGAAATAACTAGGAAAGAAATTGCTAGGTCATAGCTATGTATGTTCAGCTTTAGTAGGCACTGCCAAGTAGCTTTCCAAAGTGGCTGTACCAATATACCCACCCGTAGTATATGAGTCCCAGTTGCTGCATAGCCTTCTCCATGCTTGGCCTGTTTTGTTTTTGTTTTTTATTTTAGCCATTCTGGTGGATGGTAAAGGTATTCATTGTGGTTTAATTTGCATTTCCCTTTAAGTAAAAATTTATATATGTTTATTGGATATTTGAACATCTTTGATGAAGTGCCTTGAAGAAGATTAGTTTTAATTATCAGGAAAAAAAGCATTTTATATTTTTAATAAACTTCAAGCAATGATGATTATGCTTTTCCATGGGCCATACTTTGAGTAACAAGATACTGGTAATCTTAGAAAACTAACTCAAGATGAATAGGAGAAATCCCCAGAAAAGATAGAAAGAAGATTGTAGTAACTTTAACTTTTTATTATTTAACATGTCAGACATATTCAATAGTAGAATAATAATAAAATAAACCCAGAGTATTCTTTTTCACCTGGCTTCTATTATTATCAACTCATGATTAGTATTATTTCTTCTATACTCCCACTTACTCTCCCCCTCCTTTTATTCCATTGCAGTAACTAATGTTTCTTTACATATTAGAGATTGCAGAGTGTAATATCAATCCTAATATAAATTTGAGAACTTTTTTTTTTGCATTCCTACTTCTGGGAATGAATGTTAAGGAAATAGGACAAAAGATAAAAGGCTATATAAATGGAGGCATTTATAATAATTATTGATGTTTGTGGAAAACAGTTTAAAGCAAACTAAAATGTGTAAGTAGTAAGTAGTAAAGTAAATCATGACTGATCAGTCCAATAAAATATTATACAAGAACCAGAGGCCCAGTGCACAAAAATCATGCACTTGGAGAAGAGGGGTACCTCAGCCTGGCCTGCGCCCTCTCACAGTCCAGGAGCCCTCGGGGGATGTCCGACTGACTGCTTAGGCCCACTCCCTGTGGACATCAGTTGGACATCCTTAGCGCTGCCGCGGAGGCGGGAGAGGCTCCCGCCACTGCGCTCACCAGCCGTGAGCCCGGCTTCTGGCTGAGCTCCTGCATTGAGCATCTGCCTCCTGGTGGTCAGTGCACATCATAGCGACTGGTCATTCTGCTGTTCGGTCAATTTGCATATTAGCCTTTTATTATATATGATGATGATGATTGAAAATAATTGTTTTGAAGTTCATGTAATATGGGAAGAAATTTTTAAGTATAAACTTTTAAAAACCACAGTTCTACATGTTCTTGTTATAAATTATTTTTTAATGTTTTTGCTTTATTTAAAATATACATAATCACAATTAAGAAAGTTTTATCTTTGCAGGTTAGAATAACATACTTATTTTTTACTATAACAATTCAAAAACTGTTATCTTTATCTGAAATCTTAAGTTCTATCATTCTCTGAAGTTTTCAATAGTGCTACTTGACTTTAGGAGGCTCTGTGGATGGTATGATACAACAGATGATTTCTCCTGAAATTTTTTCTTAATCTACTGTTTTGCCTGGGGAAATTTTGGGTTTTAGTTTTTAGAAATAAAATTACTTTTTTATTCAAGGGAAATATTTATTGAGAGGACATCTGAGATTACATTTACATAAGAAGAGTACCTGGTGTTTACTGAACAATCAAGTTATGAAATGGGATCACTTTCAGGAGGGGCCTGGCAATATGCAACTGATGAAAGCGTATTTGCTTTTATCTTTTTTGTTTTAAGCAGGCATTGTCAATTTCATCAAAGCAGAGTTTCACAAAAATATTAATCTATTTTCGAAAACAGTCCCATCTTCTAGAATTCCCTTCCACTTGACTTTTATTGGAGCATCTGAATCTATGACATCTAAAATGCTTCATCTGTATGATCTCAGGATCATGGACTTTAACTTTTTTTTTTTCAGGAACAAGAAAACTGAACTAAAAGCAAGATCATTTATTTTTTGAGACATCACCATTAAAATGGGCATCTGTTTGCTCAAATATAACTTGTCTCCTTTGTCAGTCATTACTGTTTCATAAACTAAATTAATTGGTGCCATTTTCTCTTTGGGGGTTTTATGTCTACAGTTGAACTAATTTAGAATCACTCTGACCTCTTTGTTCATAAACTGTGTTATACAAAAATGGGCATTGTCCTTAAGGAGTTCTTTTCCTTGCTAATTCATATTTATTTATTTGAAAAAATTAAACTTTTCAAAGAAAATCAAAAATGCTTTTTAAAAATTTATTAAGTATATGGTGTATATCAATATTTTGTAATGTCACCTTATGATTATATTTATAATTTACTTTTTTAAAACTCATGACACTGTGTTTTCTTTATTTTTTTCATTATCCTGCAATTTCAGAGCATGTAACTTCTAATGCCAGCGATAGTGAAAGTAGTTACCGTAAGTGTTTTAAGTTACTTGTTCTTTTGTAATCTCAAGTAATATATATTCTTTGGAATTTTTTTTCCCTTAGTGATGTGTTCTAAAAACTGAAAATTAAATACTTAATCTTTTAAAATCAGGGAGAGACAACTAAAATTCAGAAAACTAGAAAAAATTATGTATAGAAGTTACTTTCCAAAATTTTAATGAAATACTGGAATCTTTTTTACAAAGAGTGCTATTTGTGAACATAGTACATATATGTGTGTATATCTTTAAATGGAGTAAATATATAGTTAAATGAGTGGTAAACTTACATTTTGCCATTTTCTTTAGTACTTATTTTGTTTTAATATGAGCGTTAAAATTATTTTTCAGTAATACTAAATTATAATTGGCTTTATTTCCTTTTTTATTGTGTCACCAGTATTGGTCTGGGTCAAGTTATTGTTTATCACCAGCCTTTGGTGAATATAGAAATTATGGAGGAAGACTTTTCAACAGTTGCTCAGACTATAATACTGGTTTTATTTTTGGTGTTTTGTGTTACATTCTGGGTATTACAGTTGACCCTTGAACAGCATGGGTTTGAACTGCACGGGTTCACTTATATGTAGATTTTTTTCAATAAATACCGTAAATGTATTTTTAAAAGATTTTCTTTTCTCTAGTTACTTTACTGTAAGTATTCTTACAGTATATAATACACATACAAAATATGTGCTAATCAACTTTATGTTATCGGTAAGGCTTCCAGTAAACAGTAGGCTACTAGGAATCAAAAGTTATATGCAGATTTTCAGCTGTGTGGGTACTCAGCATCCCTAACCCCCAAGTTGTTTATTATTAAGTGAACTCTACAAGCATGTGAAGTTTTTAAACAGATTTGGGCATGGGAGGAGGGGAGAGTACATGAATATTGTCAGTTCTAGCACCTTAAAAATTAAAATGCTTTTCTAACTTTTTTTTTTTTTTACTGCTCTCTAATATGAAAGTAATCTTGATTACAGATGAGTATGGCTGCTCAAAAGGTCCATCCTGTTAATATCAGTTCCTACTATTTCTCATGTTGACAATATATACTTTTAATCCTCACTCATTTGGTTATTTTTTTCTGCATAATAATTACTTAATAATTTTCCTTTTTTAGTATGGTAATGTGATTTTATATATTTTAGCATTTTATTATAATCATAATTCACCATAGAGTAGTTGAGTAGCTTTCTAGACTAAAAAGAGGTAATGAAAGTATATACTGTCTCATCATTTGCATGAATTATTAGGTGTGGAATATTAAAATTGCATGTTTTTGCTAATATGTAAACCATGTTTTGCATACGGTACTTTAAAAAGCAGTTTGTAAATGTGTATTATGGTAATAAACTTAGAACAATGAAATATACTTTTAAAGTAGAAAAGAATATTTATGCCAATATGTAAATTTAAAAGATCTACAGCTGCATACATATAATATAAACCATTGACAAATTTAGTGAAAAGGTTGTTAAAGAATTGTGCTAATCCAGGAAAAAAATCTTTAAATACATTATCCAATATTGCTTGCTTTCATGGAACCGCTTGAATTAACAGCCCTTCCTATTTGTTTTCGTGTGTGTGTGTGTGTGTGTGTGTGTGTGTGTGTGTTAAGAACTCCTGAAATTGTTAACTCTTTTTTTAGTTCTTTTCATTGAGTTATGATTTCTAAACTTTTTACAGCTCTAAACCTTTAATTAATGTTAGAAGATTTAACTTATAAGATAAAAGCAAAATATATTTTGTTTGAAGGGAATGGATTTAGTTTTATGTTAAGCTTTTTTTTAGCTTACTTTACATGTAATTTTTTAAAAATTGAATAAATGAATTATTAGAATAAATGAATTTTTATCAGTGAAATAGTGACAGTAATTTTACCTCTGCATTAAAAATTTTTATTGTGCCTTAACCGGTTTGGCTCTGATTAGAGCGCCAGCCTGTGTACTGAAGGGTCCCAGGTTCAATTCCGGTCAAGGGCATGTACGTTGGTTGCAGGCACATCCCCAGTAGGGAGTGTGCAGGAGGCAGCTGATCGATGTTTCTCTCTCATCGATGTTTCTAACTCTATCCCTCTCCCTTCCTCTCTGTAAAAAAATCAATAAAATATTTTTTTAAATTTTTTATTGTAAAATAGTTGTAATTATAAAAATATGCATGTGTTCTATTAAATGTTATATCTGACGGGACTAAAATAGCTGCATATTCTTAATAGCTGGAAATTACCTAATATACACATATGTAGAACTGCTCATCAAAGTATTAATCTTTTTAAAATTTAATAGTTCTTAGATTAATGGGCCATACTTGACATCACAAATGAAAATTTTAAATAGATCTAATGATAATCTGTAAACACAGATAATAGAAAGATACTTATGAAATACATAGCACATTTACATTTTGTTTTTACATTTATCAAACTTATCTTTATAGCTTTGTGATTTGCCACTTTTTTACTAAAACTTGCCAGAAATAATTTATAAAGTACCTTTTTCTACATCTTTGCTATTTCCTTAGTAACGTCCTAGTAATTTTTATGTTATGTATGAAGAATTAAATTAGCATTAGTTATCCTTACAGATTTTCTTATCTGTATTTTAATCTTCTAATAGGTGGTCAAGAAGAATATGTCTTGTCTTATGAACCAGTGAACCAACAAGAAGGTTTGTGAAGCCTGTTGATGTTTTATAATCTAGAAAAATATACTTTTTAATTTGGGAAATAGCTCTAAATCATACCTCAAAAAAATGTTTTTAGAATCTTACTATTTTTTTTAGTATATGTATAAATGTGGAACTTTACTATATGTATTTTATGAAATACGGGTTTTAGCCCAGAGTATAATAAAATCTAGTGGTTTTGTATTGGTGTCTTATTTCCTAAGTAATAATGTCTTTCCAGAGTTCATAAAAGTATTACTCTCCTTCCACTGACCCTTGTTCAAAATCTTGGAAGCATCTTTGATCTTTCTTTGTTCCTTATCTACCTTGTCCAATCAGTTTCTAGGAACTATTATTCTTCTATCATATCTTTCTTATTTATCACCTCCTTGTCATCCCTCCTACCACAATGTTAATTCCGACTGTCACTACCGATGTCTTCCAGCATGATCCCTTACAATCCAGTGAATACGCTTCTAGTAGATTATTTTTCTAGATTGCTACTGTGATTAAATCACTTCTTAATACTCAGTTTCTTTTTGTTTTTCTTTGACCTTCTTTCTTACAATTTCTACTTCAAAAATCATCAGTAGCCCAATGTGGCTTTGTGGTTGAGCGTCAACCCATGCATGTACCAAGAGATCACCAGTTTGATTCCCAGTAAGGGCTCATGCCCGGGTTTTGGGCTCAATCCCCTGCAAAGGGTATGCAGGAGGCAGCCAATCGATGTTGGTACATCAATGTTTCTATCTCTCCCTCTCCCTTCCTTTCTCTCTAAATTAATAAAAACATTTTTTAAATGATCAGTAAAATACAGGACTGTGTTTTCTCATTTGTAATGAGATGATGTTAGCAATGTACATAAACATTATCTGCTAAAATGCTGGATTTAACTTGGTTGAATTATCAATTCTTCCAACAGGAGGTTGACTTAAGCTTAAGATCTTAGTGAATGCTAATAAACTAGCAAGTTAGGCATCATTGGTGGAAAAAGAAAAAAAATTCTTACTATCTATTAAGGATACTTTGTTCTTTGGTGAAATAAAATACATTGATGTTTGTTTAGTGTTTATTCCTTTTAACATGCAGTATACTTATCTTGATAGTTAATTACACTCGACCAGTGATTATATTGGGACCTATGAAAGACAGGATAAATGATGACTTGATCTCAGAATTTCCGGACAAATTTGGATCATGTGTTCCTCGTGAGTAACCCCCATAAAAAAAATCTTAATTATCATTCTTAACATTTTGTCACTGTGTGTGGTAAAAGTAAACATCATCATTTTTAGTGGTTTATATAGTTATTTTATCAGTTATTCTTCTATCCTTCATATTATTGTCCTTTTTCAAATTTAAATTAACCTCTGTTGCATTGAACTTTATAAAATAGGTATTTAAGTATAAAATGGATTTGTTGTATTTTTAATACTAAACACTTAAGTTCTTTCTATTAAAGATACAACTAGACCAAAAAGAGATTATGAGGTAGATGGAAGAGATTATCATTTTGTGACTTCAAGAGAACAGATGGAAAAAGATATCCAGGAACATAAATTCATTGAAGCTGGCCAGTATAACAACCATCTGTATGGAACAAGTGTTCAGTCTGTGCGAGAAGTAGCAGAAAAGGTAAGCATCAAAATGATCCCAGAATATAGTTTCTAATTAGATATGCCTTTGACAGTAGGATAGAAACTTTTAATTCATATTTTTTTAAAAATACAGATGTTGAAGAATTGATTAATGTTACTAATTCATTCAACTAAATAATATTAGATGGCTTGGGAAAATACATACAAGATAAAGAAGATTGATAAAATGAGATAGAAATGATAACTTGAATCTCTCTAAGAAGGGAGATTATTTTAAGGTTCTATCCATTTGCTAGAGATAGACCTTGTGTTTCCAACATCTAGCATAATTAAGGAGCTCAGATCAGCAATGTCAATCAGTAAAAATGAACCAGATGTTCAAGATAAGTTTAGTTGCTGCTGGTTCTGAAACTAGACAGAAATTTCTCCTAAAGAGTCAATTAATAAAAGACCATGTAAAAAATATTCAACAATACTGTAACAGCATGAGATTATCTGAAAGCATCCTTCAGGGTAGTATGATGACTTACTGACATTGAGTTAAAACAGTTTTAAAGTGAAGCCAAAGTGTGTCCCAGACGTGGTACTATGCTTAAAACACTACTTGGGTCTAGAAAATAACCATCAAGTTATTGTATACCTTCAAAACTAGTTGTTTAAAATTCAGTCATATTATACCAACAAAATGTAAAGCAGTAATTCAGCATCTCAGTTTTCCATCTGTAAATACTACTTTTTCTATAAAAGGTTTGGTTAATTCTGATTAGTTTTAAAAATTGAAAAAATGAAAATGTCAGTGATGGCAAGAATGTGAGAAAATAGGAAATCTTAGATATTGTTAGTGGAGATAGAAATTAATAGAACTTCTAAGAACAGTTTGGCAGTACCTACTAAATGCACATATCTTATGACTCAGATATTCTACTTCTTGGTATCTTGGTAGAGATTCACACATGAGGATCCTTTATAAGAATGTTCATAGTACCAACCACTTCATAATAGTGAAAAATTAGAATCAACAAAGGGAAATGAATAATTAAATATTATTTATTCATGCAGTGGGATAGCAGCTAGAATGAATAAACTAATATGTACTAAAGTGTATCCACATTAATAAATCTCAAAATTACAATGAATGAGTGAAATTACAAAGGATATATGCAGTATGATACTATGTATGTAAACTTTTAATAACATAAAACAGCCTGTATAGTTAATGAATACATATTTAGTAAACGTAAAAACATGCATGGGAATGATACATCTGCTTCAGGCGTAAATGCAGCCAATATCCAGTGGTTTTCCTTTGGGAAGAATGGACAGGAAATTGTAGCTTTAATTTTATTTGTAATATTGTATTTCTTTCAAATTTATTAAAAATTAAGCCCAGCCGGAGTGGCTCAGTGTTTGAGTGTCGACCTATGAACCAGGAGGTCAAGGTTCAATTCTAGGTCAGGGCACATGCCTGAGTTCAGGACTCGATCCCCAATGTGGGGCATGCAGGAGGCAGTTGATCAGTGATACTCTCTCATTGTTGACGTTGCAATCTCTCACACTCCCTTCCTCTCTGAAGTCAATAAAAATATTTTTTTAATTAAAATAACCATACATTCAGCCTAACTGAAAAACTGATAATAACCAAACTTCAAATTAGTCAATTGAAAAGTAAACAACAAATCACAGCAAGCTATTTCTTGTGCAAACCTTGTGGAGAAGAAAATAATTGGAAGTTCCACAAAGTAGAAATATTACAATTAATACTCAGATCACAATGCAAGAAAAATCTATAGGTTGTTAGAAAATTAAAAACAAAAAGACCCAGACAACTGGAAATGTTAAAACCACCTGTTAACTCTTAAATGAAAGAGAAAATACAGAATTTCTTAAAAATAATAATGAAATAGTACATATCAGAATTCATAGGATACATTTAAAACCATGATTAAAGGAAAATTTACTACCTTAAAATTTTTCAAACAAGAAAAGAATGAATAAATAAACTAAATCCCAAGTCACATAGTATAAATAAAAGTGCAGATTATGTGGTATGCTGAGAAATAATAAGGTCAGAGAAGAAACTAGTAAAAAGAAAACAGAAAAACAATAAATAAAATCTGGTTTTTCTATAAGATCAGTGTCATTGATAAAACTTTAAACAGATACAAATTACCAATATCAGAAATGAGAGAAGTGACAGAATTTACAAATGTTAAAAGAAAAAAAATCAGAGGCTATTAGAAACAACTTTTTACCACTAAGTAATTTAGATGAAATGGATAAATTCCTAGGAAGAAATAAAGCTCACTCAAGTAGAAATAGCCCTATATCTTTAATAAAATTGATTTTTACTTAAAAACCTTCCCACAAAGAAAACCCCAGATCCAGATGGCTTCACTAATAAATTCTACCAAACATTTAAGGAAAAAATAATACCATTTTCTACATAAAATTTAAAAGGTGGGAACACTTCCCAACACATTCTGAGAGTCCAGCATTACCTAGATTTCAAAACTTGACAACACATTACAAAAAACTGCAGACTGGTATCCCTCATGAATATAAATGCAGAAATTCTAAACAAAATGTTAGCAAATTGAGTCTAACAATATATAAAAAAGGTAATATGTCATGACCAAGTAGTGTTTATCCAAAGAATGCAAGGTACATTTAAATATTAGAAAGTCAGTCAATGTAACTAAAAAAGGAAAACCATATGATCACTTGCTTAGTTCAGGAAGAGCATTTGACAAAATCAGCATCAATTCTTGATTAAAACTCTCCACAAACCAAGAATAGAAGATAACCTTCTCAAATTGATAAACAATATTCCACGAGGATATTTTTCCATTGATTTTTAGAGAGAGTGAAAGGGAAGGGGAGAGACAGAGAGACACATCTGTTGGTTGCCTCCCTTACACACTCCAACTTGGGGCCAGGTATTGAGCCTGCAACCGAGGTATGCACCCTTGACTGGAATTGAACCCAGGACCCTCAGTCCACAGGCCAACCCCCTATCCACTGAGCCAAACCGGCTAGGGCACCACTTATTTTTAACATTATACTAGAGGTTCTAGCCAGTACAATAAGGCAAAAGAAAGAAAGAAAATTCATGCAGATTGTAAAGGAAGAAGTAAAATTGTCTGTATTTGCGAATGACATGATGGTCTATATAAAAAATCTGATAGAATCTACCAAAAAAATAAAAAATAAAAAATAGAAAGAAAGCTACTAGAGCCTTATGGTATGGCTCCAGTCACCAGGGCTTTTAATAAAAGAGTTTTTGGTAAATAGTGCTGCTAGAGCCTTAGCTGGTATGGCTCAGTTGGTTGGAGCATTATCCCATATTATCCCATATACCAGTGATGGCGAACCTATGACACACGTGTCAGAGGTGACATGCGAACTCATTTTTTTTGGTTGATTTTTCTTTGTTAAATGGCATTTAAATATATAAAATAAATATCAAAAATATAAATCTTGGTTTTACTATGGTTGCAAATATCAAAAAATTTCTATATGTGACACGGCACCAGAGTTAAGTTAGGGTTTTTCAAAATTCTGACACGCCGAGCTCAGAAGGTTCGCCATTACTGCCATACACTGAAAGGTTGTGGTTTTGATTCCTGGTCAGGGCACATAACCTGGACTGTGGATTCATTACCTGGTTGGGTGCATACAGGAGGCAACTGATCAATGTTTCTCTCATTCTCTCTCTATATCTCTCCCCCACCCCCCAGTAATTTGGCCAAAATAAAAAAATAAACATTTTTTAAGCTACTAGAACTAATAAGTTTAGCAAGATTTAAGGATACAGAAATCAGTTGTATTTCTATATACCAGACCAATTATAAATTGAAATTTTAAAAACAATATTATTTACTGTGGCACCAAAAAATATTAAATACTTAGAGATAAAGCTGACAAAAGATATTGAGACCAATACACTGAAAACTCCAAAGCATTGCTCAGAGAATTAAAGACCTAAATAAATGGAGAGATACACCATGTTCATGGATTAAAGACTCAATATTGCAGAGCTATCAGTTCTGTCTAAGCTAATTTATATATGAACACAATCCCAATAAAAAATACCACCTTTATTATGGGACTTGGTAAGTCAAATTGAAGTTTATATGAGAAGCAAGTACAATACAAAAAAGCTACAAGGGATTCCAGCCCTATCATATTAAAACATACTATAAAGTCTTCTTAATTAAAACCTAGTATAGTACTGTCACATGAATAGACAAACAGACCAGTAGAATAGAAAAGAGAATCCAGGCAAGACCCAAATATATATGAAAATATAGTATACTAGAGGCCTGGTGCACGAAATTCGTACACCAGAGTGGGGGTCCCTCAGCCTGGCCTGCACCCTCTCGCTGGCAGGCGAACATCCCCCTCGCAGTCCAGGATCCCTCTCACAGTCCAGGACCCCTCGCTCCTTAACCACCCTCCTGCTCGCTGCTCCTTAGCACTGCCGCAGGGGTGGAGAGGCTTCCACCACCACCACTGCACTTGCCAGCCGTGAGCCAGGCTTCTGGCTGAGCGGCGCTCCCCCCGTGGGAGTGCACTGGCCACCAGGGGGCAACTCCTGCGTTGAGCGTCTGCCCCCCGGTGGTCAGTGCACATCATAGCAACCGGTTGTTCTGCCGTTTGGTCGATTGCATATTAGGGTTTTATTATAGGATGATGAAGGTGCAATCTCCAGTCACCAGGGCTTTTAATAAAAGAGTTTTTGATAAATAGTGCTGGGACGACTAGAAAAAAGTTAATTAATTAATTTAAAACCACACTATACACAAACATTGGCTGTAATACAATTGACAGAAGAAAATATAACCTAGTCATAATGCAAGTTTTTAACTATGAATTAAAATTTGGATCCAATAAAAGACTAATAAATTTGACCAAATTAAAAATAAAAATGGTTTTTACTTGGTAAAAAAAAACTTTTCCAAAAACTAGTGGGAAACACTGTTACCAAAGTCAAAAAGCAACTGACAGAGAAAAAATTCCAAGCAAGGGGCTGATATTCCAAATATATAAAGAACTCTTAAAAATTAAGGAAATAGAGACCAAAAACCTAATAAAATAACAGACAAAAAGATATGAATACACAATTCACACAAAAATAAGGTGTAGAAATAATAAATTAGAAACTAATGAGATTGGTTAGCTACAGAGGAAGTGGTGGAAAAGGATGGGAGATGGAAATGAGGTAGAAAGGATGAAGGTTTGACATTTCTTCAAGTATACCTTTTTATATAATTTTGACTTTTAGAATTATGTTAACATTTTATATATTTTTAAAAATAAAAAAGAAAGGTGAGGGAAATGAAAAATGATATACAAACAGGAACTAAATTAACTAGATTTCAAACAAATCACTGCATTAAAGAGGGGAGGGGAAGAGAGGAGAGTCTTAATTCCAATAATCCTGAACCACAGGATAGGTTAAATACAAAAATATCTGTGAACAAATATTGAACTCTTCTTTTGTTTTTCAGAGTGGTATGAGCTAACAGTTGTGAAACCAATTTATATTCTAGAGTTGAGCAAATTAATATATTGACAATAATGAGAGCCAGGTTTCTTAATGTATTTTCATTCCTTTTTAAATGTAATATTTGAGAATGGAAAATTAATTATTCATAGTCATTATTCATTGTCTTTATTTAATTTGCTAACAAAAATAACAAGTTTCGCCCTAACCGGTTTGGCTCAGTGGATAGAGCGTCATCCTGCGTACTCAAGGGTCCCAGGTTTGATTCCGGTCAGGGGCATGTACCTTGGTTGTGGACACATCCCCAGTAGGGAGTGTGCAGGAGGCAGCTGATCAATGTTTCTCTCTCATGATGTTTCTAACTCTCTATCCCTCTCCCTTTCTCTCTGTAAAAAATCAATAAAATATATTTTAAAAAAATAAAATAACAAGTTTGTTAAAGTGAACAGGATCCAAACATATCATAATTCTGATTCTGTACCTATAGGAAATATATCTTTGATATTATTGAAAATATTTGTTTTCACTTGTTTTTCTTCTTTATTTTAGGGCAAACACTGTATCCTTGATGTGTCTGGAAATGCCATAAAGAGATTACAGATTGCACAACTTTACCCAATCTCCATTTTTATTAAGCCCAAATCCGTGGAAAATATCATGTAAGTGAAATAAGACACAGGCTCAAAGTAGAGATTCAGTCTCTATCACTTATTAGATTAGGTTATTTACTTAACCTCCCTGTATCTCAGTTTCTTTATCTGTAAAATGGAGAAATTAATAGTATACCCACCTCTTAGGATTGTTGTGAAGATTAAGTAAGCACTCTGTGATATTAACTGTCATCATCACCAACTTTAATATACTTAAGAATAAGGGAATGTGTATTAGAATTTTAAATTTAAACAGTCACATTTGGCTAATACCTACTGAATGGAGCAGCAGTATAGCTCTGAGTAACCATCTAATCTAATAAAAGAGAAACATGTAAATTGACCATACCTCCGCTGTGCCCCAAGCCACGCCCACGAGCCAATCGGCAACTATATGCAAATTAACCCAACCAAGATGGCCGGCAGCCACGGAGCTGGAGCAAGCAGGAGGCTTGGTTGCCCAGGCAATGGAGGAAGCCAAGCCTCCCGCCTGCCGTGGCCAGCTCTGGCCTCCGCTAAAGGCAACAAAGTTTCAATTATAGAAGATAAATAAACCCCAGATACCTGCTTCCAGCCATCCTCCACTGGGAGCTTAGGTGGCTGGGGGCCGTGGCCAGCCTGCAAACAGCCATCAGCCCCTCACCCAGGCTGGCCAGGCACCCCAGCGGGACCTCCACCCTGGTCCGGGACACCCTTCAGGGCAAACCAGCTGGCCCCCACCCATGCACCAGGCCTCTATCCTATATAATAAAAGGGTAATATGCAAATTGGCCCTAACAGCAGAACGACTGGGAATGACTGGTCACTATGACACACACTGACCACCAGGGGACAGACGCTCAATGCAGGAGCTGCCCCCTGGTGGTCAGTGCGCTCCCACAGGGGGAGCTCTACTCAGTCACAAGCCAGTCTGATGGCTGCCAGTACAGCAGTGGTGGTGGGAGCCTCTCCTGCCTTCTCAGCAGCGCTAAGGATGTCCGACTGCAGCTTAGTCCTGCTCCCCGCTGGCAAGTGGGCATCCCCTGAGGGCTCCCGGGCTGCCAGAGGTATGTCTGACTGCCAGCTTAGGCCCAATCTCCCGGGAAACGGGCCTAAGCCAGCAGGTGGTTATCCCCCAAGGGGTCCCAGACTGCGAGAGGTCACAGGCCGGGCTGAGGGACAACCCCCCCCCCCCCCTCCCCCAGTGCACAAATTTTTGTGCTCTGGGCCTCTAGTTAAGAAATAAAATGTTGTATAATAGAGGGCAAGAAATACAATTTAAATAAAAACTAAAAGAAGAGAGAAAAGGGCAAATAAAAACATAGGTGGGGCAAAAAGAATACAGATAGTCATATGGTATAAATGAACTCAAATATTTCATCAATTAAATGATAGACTGAATAGTCCAGTTAAAGAACAAAGATCATCAGAATGGATGAAGAAAAAACAATTGTATGTTGCTTTTGTAGAAGAGGAACAAATATTTTCCTTCTACTCTTCTAGGTTCTAAGCTGTAACAAAAGACAGAGTAACAAGAGAAAAGCTTACAGATTTAATTTTTTCATGGCATAGAAGCCTTCATAAGGAAATGAAGATCCAAAGAAATGGTTAAACCTGAGCACTTTTATACTATAGGTTTGACAAAGAGTAGAAAGTCACGGGTAAATGTGATAGGACCATAGGATATGAGTTAAGAGTAGTAAACTAGAGGAAACTTACGAAGGCCTGTTCATTCAAATTCCTCTTAGCATCCCTCCAGGAATGCTTCTTTTCTCCAGGTATAGGGAGGTCATCTCTCACATGAAGATCTTATGACTTATTTAAGGGGTAGGTCAGAGTTCTTCCTGCACCTGTCATTTTTCAAATTCCTTTATCTTAATATATGCAGTATGCCAAGATACCATATTTTGGGATAGTGTGTATGAAACCTCTCAACTATATGTTGCTTTCATAAGGCACACCTTAAATATTAGGCTATGGACAGACCAAAAGTAAGAGAATAGAAAAAAGATATGCCATGCAAAAATTAATCATAGGCAAGCTGGTTTATATTACTATATCAAAGTATAGTTTAAAGCAAGAAGTATGACTAGAGATATAAAAGAGCAATTTTACAAAAATAAAAGTTTCACTCTATCAGGAAGATCTGTTTAGACATTTATTTGCATTTAGTAGCCCAGTTTCAAAATATATAAAGCACAAATATACAACTGTACAGGAAAAGAAAAATCCCACAATCATAGTGGGAGAACTTTAACACATCAGTCAGAAAGTAATAGAATAAGAAAACAAACAAAAAATCAGTAAGGATATAGAACAGCACATATTTCAAACTTTACCTTACATATGTAGAACACTACATTTGACATCAACAAAATTTACACATTTATTTGAAGCATGCATAAAATTACCAAAACTAATCGTATGCTAAGCTACAGAATACAAATGATTAAAAACAAATATTCTGTGGCCATTATGAAATTAAAACAAATCAATAATGAAAAGATCACTAGAAAATTCCCATATATTTGGGGGTTATACATTATACTTCTGAATGGGTCAAAAAAGAAAGCCTAAATTAATAAATGTTTTTAACTAAATGAGAAATCAGCTTAAATAAGTATTTTGAAATGCTAATGAAATTACCAAGTGAGGAGAAACCAAGATGGCGGCATAGGTAAATACCGGAAATTGCTGCCTCCGACAACAACTTCAAAAATACAACGAAAAGACAAAACGGACATCATCCAGAACTACAGGAAGGCTGGCTGAGTGGAAATTCTACAACTAGAAGGAAAGAGAAAAGCACACTGAGACCCAGAGGAGCTGCAGAAGTAAAAGTGCAGACGTATGGAGGCTCGAGCACGTGCGCGGAAAGGGGCGGGCACCTGAGGATGCGGCTGTCTTTTTGAATCGGGAGGGAGTCACAAGCTCCCGACTGCTCTGAACTCCAGTTCCGGGAGGTCTCTGGGGACCCAGGACTCATACGGGGAGAAACTGGACTGTCTGGCAGCAAGCAGAACTCGGAACTCGAGGGCGGCTTTCCCTCAGAGGTGCTTGCAGCAATTACCGGGACACTGAGACGCGCGGCCCCTTAGGGCAGGGCTGAGGATCAGCAATAGCTGCTTGTTCTGCCCTGTTGCTTCCAAGACCCCGCCCCACCCAGGCTGTGGCAGAAGCTTTTGCATGTGAATGCCCTGGCCCTTTGCAATCTGAAAAGTACCTAACAAACTGCAGCTGGGCCAGACAGACCCAGAACTTCCAAGAGAAGACCCAAGGCCCCACAGCAGCTTGCATTGCTTCACAGCTGGGCCTCATCTGGGCATCTCCAAACCCCCCAAGAAAGGAAGGGGAATCTGCAGATCTCTTCGTAGCTCCTGCTGGGTAGCTTTAGGCAGAGGCTAAATTAGCACCTCCTTAGAACCAAGAGCCAGTGTACCCAGTGGTCAGAGTGGGACCATCCAGATTACAACTCCTCAGATCCATAAGGGACACACTCAGGGGGCAGACTCAGTGAGCACCAAAGCCCCACTGAAGCAAGTCTTGCCCCAGAAGGGTGTCTCCAGCACAGAAGTTCTCCCACTGCAGACACAGCTGATTCTCACAGCCAACTGGCCTGGAGGTCAATTCCTCCCAGTGATAACTACAACAATCAAGGCTTAACTACAACAAGACTGTGCACACAGCCCACAAAGGGGTGCACCAAGAGTGTCCACCTCAGGTAATTGGGGAGACTGAGCCACTGGGCCCTATAGGACACCTAGCACACAAAGCCACTCTACCAACACAGGGAAGCATAAAAAATGCGGAGACAAAGAAACAGGTCACAAATGGCAGAAATGGAGGAAAGCAAACGACTGGATACAGAGTTCAAAACCACGTTTATAAGGTTTTTCAAGAATTTTATGGAAACCGCCGATAAATTTAGTGAGACCCTGGAGGATATGAAAAAAGACCAACTAGAAATTAAGCATACACTGACTGAAATAAAGAATAATATACAGAGATCCAACAGCAGACTAGAGGATCCCAAGAATCAAGTGAAAGATTTGAAATATGAAGAAACAAGAAATACCCAACCGGAAAAGCAAAAAGAAAAAAGAATTCAAAAATATGAAGATAGTGTAAGGAGCCTCTGGGACAACTTCAAGCATACCAACATCAGAATTATAGGGGTGCCAGAAGAAGAGAGAGGGCAAGATATTGAAAACCTATTTGAAGAAATAATGACAGAAAACTTCCCCTACCTGGTGAAAGAAATAGACTTACAAGTCCAGGAAGCGCAGAGAACCCCAAACAAAAGGAATCCAAAGAGGACCACACCAAGACACATCATAATTAAAATGCCAAGAGCAAAAGACAAAGAGAGAATCTTAAAAGCAGCAAGAGAAAAAAGTCAGTGACCTACAAGGGAGTACCCGTACAACTGTCAGCTGATTTCTCAACAGAAACTATGCAGGCCAGAAGAGAGTGGCAAGAAATATTCAAAGTGATGAATAGCAAGAACCTACAACCAAGGTTACTTTATCCAGCAAAGCTCTCATTCAGAAGTGAAGGTCAGATAAAGAACTTCACAGATAAGAAAAAGCTAAAGGAGTTCATCACCACCAAACCAGTATTATATGAAATGCTGAAAGGTATTCTTTAAGAAGAGGAAGAAGAAAAAGGTAAAGATAAAAATTATGAACAACAAATACACATCTATCAACAAGTGAATCTAAAAATCAAGCAAATAAATAATCTGATGAACAGTATGAACTGGTGATTATAATAGAATCAGGGACATAGAAAGGGAATGGACTGACTATTCTTGGGGGGGGAAGGGTTTGAGGGGTGCAGAAAGAGATTGGACAATAATCGTGCACCTATGGATGAGGACAGTGGGTGGGGAGTGAGGTCAGAGGGTGGGGTGGGAACTGGGTGGAGGGGAGGTATGGTGGGAAAAAAAGATGAACCAATGTAATAATCTGAACAATAAAGATTTAATAATAAAAAAAGAAGAAAAAAAAAGAAAGAAATTACCAAGTAAA